TCTATGTGCCTTTATCTGCACGAACCCGTCTGTGCTCTGAATCTCTTAATAGTGCGATGATCACGCTTAAGTTTTCGTGAAATATCTAATGTTTTCATACCTCGTCCAAGGTATTGAACTATTTCACTCTTTTCGGCAGTAGAGAGATCCTTTTTCTTCCCCATATTGCTTGAAAATGGTGCTCTGTTTAATAATGTGGAACACCCTCCTTTAGTAGTTTTTTCCTTAAATTGGGCTCACTGGCCAATCTAATTATCACAGGTGTTCGAGATTGTTTTCAGTGATCAAAAGAGCCCTGACACACAATGCCATCCATGAGTTAAACTGAAAAACAAAATATTTAATCTTTGTGACACAAATAGAATTTGCATAATAATTTGGAACAGGGTGTATTTTAGGGGTTGACCTTATAATAGAACATACTACACTATATAGCTTTTGTTCTTTTTCTTCTTGTTTGTTTTTGGAGAGTAGTATTTGGTAAAAAATAATTACCTGTGGATTTGAATTCCATTTTGTGAAAATGAAATAAGAAAACCACAGACATTTGGGGTTAAGATATATGCATTTTATATTTGACACTAAATGAGGGATGTATTGGGAAGCACTGCATTGATGGTATTTTGATTAATATTTTTCCATAAGCACTGGTGTAAATCCAATATTGATTTTCCTCTGCTGGGGGTGGCAGATTGTTTCCAGAGGCTGGGAGTATTACAAAAACAAGAAAAACGTAATTAACACTAATACATACCACCAATTCTGGCATTAAAAGCAATTCCTACTGTACAGTGTGAATTGTTTGCAGTAGCTGCTACTTCTCCTGCACAACGGGTTCCATGTCTGCAAAGGAAAAGAATATCTTTATTTACAAAGAAGAAAAACACATCACACTATGCAGTACCATTTTCAGTAACAATACATACAGAAAACTCACATGGCCATCTGAAACTCTTTTCCCATGTAATGTTGGATCTTATGTAACACTGGATGTCTCTTGAAAGTCTCAAACATTAATAACACAATAAAGAGGCTGTGAAACCTATGGAGTAGTTAAAACTATGGGCAATACCAGCCCAGTCCATTTTAGTATTTTTCAGAATAGCCCATTCACATACAATCTTCAGCTAAGCTTAAATGTCACACAGGTTCTCAGTGATGTCTGAAAACTGACCTGCACATTGATGCCAGATAAGCAGTTTCTGAAGGAATACTGTTATGCTTTTTTTTTCTTTTTTGGCTAAATCCCTTTTCAGAGAGATAATGATCAAACAAACTAGTGAGTCTAATTTCTTCCTGCTTCTGCACTTTTGCAAGAAAGCTTCAAACACCTTTCATACACTTACCTTGGGGGGTTTGGCCAATGCAACATTCTAACCCATCTCTGTACCACAGGAGCTTCCTATTAAACTGCCAACCTCTTTTTTCAATCAACTACACTCCGCATGGTGGCAGATGGTACTTGTAGTTCATTCATTCACAGATCTCTGTGAATTAATGACGCAGTTTTGCAGGTGGAGCCCTCCACAGCCACACTGTTTTCAAATTGTGACAGCAAGTGTGAGGAGAGGATCCTCATCCCACTGTCTCAATGAGAGATCGGAGGATGGGGACAGGTGCATTACTGTAACATGTTATGGGTGTAACATGATACAAAGGTGAACTTATACTTTAAACATTCTTTAGTAACTTTACTTAAGACATGGAGGAATCAGCCTTCTGAATGTCAAATTATGACATAGGACAGCACATCTGGTCAGAATAGTAGATTGGATTTGTCACTCCACTCCTATGGGTGTCTATGAAAGCTGAACACCCTCAATTAAAAGTTCAGGGCCTTCCGTGTTTATCTAGCCCTCTTCCAATTTCCACTAAAAAATCAACCTACCACAAGTGAAAATTGCACAAAGAGATTTTTCTACAACAAGCATCTCACCCTTTCCTTCACCCCCATTCTGAGAGACCCTGAATTCCCTCCTGGTTTTGAAAATCCTAAACTTAAAGCTCTGCAAAAATAGGAAAAATGTAAAGTTAACTCTCTAACTGATCAGGAATGACTCAAAAGGAAATTGGGAACCTTGCATACCCAGAAAGCAGAAGCAGAATTTTTTACAGCTCCACAGCTCCTCATACTTTGCATGGAAGGCACTCACTCATGACATACAACCCCTGGCAAAAAGTTTGGAATCACCATCCTTGGAAAATGTTCATGCAATTGTTTAATTGTGTAGGAAAAAAAAACAATCACAGACATGCCTCAAAACTAAGTTCATTTAACATTCCAACCTTCTGGCTTTAGGAAAGACTTAAAAAAATTAAAAAAGAAAGAAAACTGTAGTCAATTTCAACTTTTAGATACAGCTGACTGGGAACAACCAACATCTTTTGCAACATTCCGTGATGATTTATCTTCTTGAAGAAGTTTTATAATCCTCTCCTTTGTTTCAAATGACATCTCTTGTGTTGGAGCCATGAGAAAGACTCAGAAATGAGTGATTCCATATTGATCTGCAAAAACAGTTGCAAGTGACTGCAGTTTTCTTTCTTTTTTATTTTGTAAGTGTTTCTTAAAGCTAGAAGGTTGGAATGTTAAATGAAAATAGTCCTGAGGCATGTTTGTGATTAGTATTTTTTCTACACAATTAAACAATTGAATGAACATTTTCCAAGAATGGTGATTCCATACTACTCACCAGGGGTTGTAGTATGCTCAAATAACACACATACTGTACATTGTAGGATGGCGGCACACCAAGATAGATATGCTTCTTCTTTATAGTTGAAAAACATGGTGTGACAGTATATAAGCAATGCAGACCCCTTCTTATGCATTTTGTGCAATCAAGCTTCTAATCATAAGGTGGTATCTAGACATTCAATCTCACTTGTTAACACATTATTATCCTCATTTCTTTCAGCAATTAACCAAAATTCAGCAGTAAATTGCCAAGACATTTCAATCTATTAATAAAAATACTGATAGAAGCATCCTTCTTAATTAAGTTAAACCAATAAGGTCATATATGATTGACTGCTGTATATAATGGACCAAACAATATTAGAGATTACTTGCATATCTATCTATCTATCTATCTATCTATCTATCGATCGATCTACAGTGAAGGAAATAAGTATTTGATCCCTTGCTGATTTTGAATGTTTTCCCACTCACAAAGAAATGCTCAGTCTAAAAATCGAATGGTAGGTGTATTGTAACACAGAGACAGAATAGCAACAAAAAATGCAAAAGAAATGCATGTCTAACAAATTATGCACTGATTTACATGTTCATGAGGGAAATAAGTATTTGATCCCCTATTTCTGGCTACTAGGTGTCTTTCATACAGGTAACAAGCTGAGATTAGAAGCAGTCTCTTAAATGGAGTGATGCTAATCTCATTTTGTTACCTGTATAAAAGAAACCTGTCCACAGAAGCAATCAAACAATCAGATTCCAAACTCTCCACCATGGCAAAGACCAAAGAGCTGTCCAAGGACATCAGGGATAAGATTGTAGACCTACACAAGGCTGGACTGGGCTACCAAACTATCGCCAAGCAGCTTGGTGAGAAGGTGACAACAGTTGGTGCAATTAGAAGAAACACAAAACAACTGTCAGTCTCCCTAGGTCTGGTGCACCATGCAAGATCTCACCTCGTGCAGTGTCAATGATCATGAGAACAGTGAGGAATCATCCCAGAACTACACATGAGGATCTTGACAATGATCTTCATGCAGCTGGGATCACAGTCACCAAGAAAACAATTGGTAACACACTACACCTACAAGGATTGAAATCCTGCAGTGCCCGCAAGGTCCCTCTGCTCAAGAAAGCACATGTCCAAGCCCGTTAGAAGTCTGCCACTGAACATCCAAATGATGCAAAGGAGGACTGGTTGAAAGTGTTGTAGTCAGATGAGACCAAAATCGAGCACTTTGGCATCAACTCGCCATGTTTGGAGGAGGAGGAATGCTGCTTATGACCCTAAGAACACCATCCCAACTGTCAAACATGGTGGTGGAAACATTCTGCTTTGGGGGTGTTTTTCTGCTAAGGGGACAGGACAACTGCACCACATCAAAGGGGTGATGGATGGGGCAATGTATCGTCAAATCTTGGGTGAGAACCTTCTTCTCTCAGCCAGGGCATTGAAAATGGGCTGTGGATGGGTGTTCCAGCAAGACAATGACCCAAAACACACAGCCAAGGCAACAAAGGAGTGGCTCAAGAAGAAGCACATTAAGGTCCTGGAGTGGCCTAGCCAGTCTCCAGACCTTAATCCATTTGAAAATCTGTGAAGGGAGCAGGAAGTTCCAGTTCCCAAACGTCAGCCACCAAACCTTAAAGACTTGAAGAGGATCTGCCAAGAGGAGTGGGCCAAAATCTCTCCTGAGATGTGTGCAAACCTGGTGGCCAACTACAGGAAACGTCTGACCTCTGTGATTGCCAACAAAGGATTTGTCACCAAGTACTAAGGCATGTTTTGTGAAGGGGATCAAATACTTATTTCCTCATGAACATGCAAATCAGTGCATAATTTGTTAGACATGCATTTATTTTGAATTTTTTGTTGCTATTCTGTCTCTCAGTGTTACAATACACCTACCATTCGATTTTTAGACTGATCATTTCCTTGTGAGTAGGCAAACATTCAAAATCAGCAGGGGATCAAATACTTATTTCCTTCACTGTATATATATTAGACAAGAATAAATTCATATTCAAGCCCCATACAAACATGTATGAAACATCCCATCATGACTCAAACCATATCCTGGTATGCATCAGCATCATAAAACTCCAGTATACCCCCCTCTTGCATAATCTAAAAAAGACATCTCGCCCCCTTTACAAAGACTTAATCTTTTCTATTTCATGTAAGTTATTGTATCCTTCTGTTATGACGTACATTAACTACTTGCCAACCGCAGATAGCTGAATGACGGCTACACTGCGGCCGGACAGTTCTGGGAGGGCGTCATATGACCTCCTCCCAGAACACTCTCTCCTGCGCGTCCCCGGGTGCATGCACCCGGCGATCTCCATGATCGCTGTGTCCTATGGACACAGCTGATCACGTGATGTGGTAAAAGGCCAATCACAGCGGCCTTTTACCACATGATCAGCCGTGTCCAATGACACGCTGATCACCGGGAAATGCAATTGCCGGTTCTCGGCTGCACTTTCCTCACGCTGTCAGTGCCCTGATGATCGGTGCCCAGCAATGCCACCCACCAGTTCTGCCCACCTGTGCCCAGCAGTGCGCCCACCTGTGCCCAGCAGTGCACCCTCCTGTGTCCAGCAGTGCACCCACCTGTGCCACCCAGCAGTGCCACACACCTGTGCCCAGAAGTGCCACCTACCTGTGCCCACCAGTGCCACCCACCTGTGCCCACCAGTGCCACCCATCAGTGCAGCCCAGCAGTGCTGCCAGTCAGTGCCACCAGTCAGTGCCCAGCGGTTGTGCCAGTCAGTTCCCAGCGGTTGCGCCAGTCAATGCCTAGCAGTGCCGCCAGTCAGTGCCCAGCAGTGGTGCCAGTCAGTGCCACCTATCAGTGCTGTCTATCAGTGCCACCTATCAGTGCCGCCGCATTAGTGCTGCCTATCAGTGCTGCCTATCAGTGCCCATCAGTGCTGCCTATCAGTGCCCATCAGTGCCGCCTATTAGTGCCCATCAGTGCTGCCTCATCAACGCACATCAGTGAAGGAGAAAAATTACCTGTTTGAAAAATTTTATAATAGAAACAAAGAAACTTTTTTTTTCAAATGTTTTTGTTTATAGCGCAAAAAGTAAAGTGCCCAGCGGCGATTAAATACCACCAAAAGAAAGCTCTATTTGTGAGAAAAAAATGATAAAAATTTCATATGGGTACAATCTTGCATAACCACGCAATTGTCAATCAAAATGCGACAGCACTGAAAGCTGAAAATTGGCCTGGTAAAGAAGGGTATAAGTGCCTGGTAGGCAAGTGCTTAAAGTGGTAGTAAACACCGTACTTTAAAATAAAAACTTTTTCCCTACAGCGGTGCATTGTCAGGGCATCCATCTTCACCTGATCCTTCTTCCTGGTTAGCGGGCTCCGGCAGCTTGAACGGCCAAACTGAGATGATTTCATGGGAGTAAATTTTTACAGCACACAGCTCTGAAGGAACGGCACGGGCATGCCCTTCTTTCAGAGAGCATGCGCTGGTGCTGCTTTACAAGTAAATATCTCCTAAATGGTGCACATTTAGGACATTTTTACAGTACCTACAGGAAAGTCTTATTATAGGCTTACCTGTAGGTACAAGTTAAAAAAGACGTGTTTACTACCACTTTGAAGTGTCTAGCCATATTAGCATAATTATTCATTGCAATACCACTCTATAATTAAGTATTTGTGTGCGAGAAATGTGTAAGAATGAATAAAGGAATAACTTAAGGCCCAACTCCCTGCTCCTGTTTGCCTCCAAGCTTCTCGAGCGCCTTGTTCACAACCGTATGAACTGCTACCTCACTGACAACAACCTTCTTGATCTCCAACAGTCTGGCTTCCGCCCACAACATTCCACAGAAACTGCCCTACTAAAACTCACAAACGATCTACTAACTGCTAAAACCAGTGGCCATTACTCCATACTCATACTCATTGACCTTTCCGCTGCCTTTGACATAGTCGACCACCCGCTCCTGCTCAGTAAACTCCACTCCATCGGCTTCCGTGACTCTGCTCTCTCCTGGTTCTCCTCTTACCTTTCTCAGCACACTTTCAGTGTCATATACATCTCTTCCTCCTCCGCTCCGCTCCTCTCCCTCATTCTGTTGGGGTAACCCAAGGTTCTGTTCTTGGGCTCTTCTTTTCTCTCTACACCTCCTCCCTGGGCCAACTGATAACCTCCCATGGCTTCCAATACCACCTCTATGCTGATGACACCCAGATCTATCTCTCCACTCTCCAGCTCACCCCCTCAATCTCCTCAGGTATCACAAATCTACTAAGCGACATATCAGCATGGATGTCACACCACTACCTTAAACTCAATCTTTCCAAAACCAAGATTGTAATATTTCCTCCTCCCCGATCTCCCACTCACGACTTTACCACTAAGATCAACAGCACAACCATTGGTCCTTCCCCTCATGCCAGGGTGCTAGGTGCAATCCTAGGCTCTGACCTCCTTTGGGCCCCACATCCAATCACTGGCTAAATCCTACCACCTCAACCACCGGAACATTTCCAAAATCCTCCCCTTTCTGACCAATGAAACCACAAAACAACTTATCCACGCCCTGGTTTTATCCCGCCTTGATTACTGCAACTCCCTCCTCACTGGTCTACCGTTACACAGGCTATCCCCCTTCAGTCTATTATGAATGCTGCTGCTAGACTCATACACCTTACCAACCGATCACCGACTGCTGCCCTTCTCTGCCAAGCCCTTCACTGGCTTCCACTAACCTAAGGTATAAAATTCAAAATACTAACCACAGCTTACAAAGCCATCCACAACACTGCCCCTAGCTACATCACCAACCTCATCCACAGATACCACCCAAATCGCCCACTCCGCTCCTTCCAAGATATCTTCCTCTCTAGCTCCCTCATCACCTCCTCCCACGCTCACCTCCAGGACTTCTCCAAAGCCTCTCCCATTCTCTGGTATTCCCTACCACAGTATGTCCGGTCAGCCCCCACCCTGTCTGCCTTTAGCGATCTTTGAAAACTCACTTATTCAGGGAAGCCTACCCCACCTCCACCTAAGAACTGTACTTGAATCACCACCACCAGATCATCCCCCGCAGCTATCACCTTTCGTATCACCTCCCCCTTCCTTTAGATTGTAAGCTCCACGAGCAGAGCCCTCATATTCCTTCTGTACTGAAATGTATTGTAATTGTACTGTCTCCCTTATATTGTAAAGTGCTGCGCAAACTGTTGGCGCTATATACATCCTGTATAATAATAATAAGAGGGAACTTCATTCATGATATATCTGTCATACCAAGTTTTTAAAACAATAAAGGCATGTGTGTGTATATTGGTGTGGCATCATCCTATGTTGTACGTTGTATGTATGTATTTATCAGTAATGAGCTGGACAGGCAACAAGTAAATAAGCGGATAAAGGCGGAATGAGCTCCAGGCTTACCTGCCCTCAGTCTATCCATTATTATATATGTACTTATACTATGGAGACTCTAAAAATGTATAGATTTAGGAACTGCAGAATGTTGGGGTGCCGTGAAGTGGATTTGCAGCTAATGATGTACTGTATTTGCAAATGTGTGCACACTAAACCCCTGTTTTTAACCTGAACTGTTAGACAGGACAATTCAGTTGGTTGCAGGCTGGTTGGTAAGTTGAGCTGGGAATTTTTTTCTGTTGTTTGATATGTGTTGACCGTCCATGTGCTCCTTGCTGCAAAGGCCAGTTATAGATTGGGGCAGTTGCCATTTGTTTGTACTATGGAATGACCTGGAGCAGCACTGTCTTGGAATTTTAAACACATTTATTCCTAGTTAGCATGTCAAAGCCTCAAAGCCACCTCTGCTTTTCCTGTGATAGTCATTGCTGCTCTCTGCATACTACAGTGGCAAGAGGGAATAGTTAGGGATGGAGATGAGGGATTAACTGTTTGTTTTGCTAGCAAGTCAGAATTTGCATATGAGTAGTGTCACTGATCTGCTTACATGGCATATTTTGGAGACAAGGAGGGTGTATCTGAAACAACTAATAGAGTTGACGTAGTGACTGATAAAGTGAAGGTAACATGTTTACATGTTGAGGGAATAGAAAGTATGAGTTCACATAGTAAGGTGGCCTGTTTTTTTTACGGATGGTCCTCAATGAAAAACAAAAGTCCTAAAACAGGTTTGTTGTTTGGATGTATTTCTGGTTTGACTAGTGTACTTTTATTTCCATTTTTTTTAATTAAACTTTTTACTGAAAAACTAGATTGGTTGCGTTATGAGTAGAAAATGGAGGTGGGGTTGCCCATTCCCTTAACAAATAGAGAACACAAAGGTATTTATATGATTGGGTGTGAATGAACTAAGAGCTAATCAGTTTTGGTCATTAACAGGTAAGGTTGCATACATAAAACTATCTTCACCAATTATAATCTATTCTGTATTCATCCTCTAAATGCAGTACCCAGGATACTACTAAAGAATGCAAATGGTGCAGTTCTCAATCAATAAAGATCTCTAAATCAACCACCAGAAGAGGCAGACAACAATGTCCAAAACATCTGTTATATCTTGTAAACAAAGATCAAAATGGACCAAAACATTACAAACCCAAACGCATGTTCAAAACACCCAATGCCAAGTCCCATATTTCTACCCTGATAGAATTACGCACTTAAAGAAAAACTAATAAACCTGTTTGATTAACTTGATTTATAGAAATTGCTGACAACAGATTCCATTTCTCATTTGTCCTTAAGCAGTTTAGAAAATAGAACCTTAAATTTGTTTAGTTGCTATGAGCAAGAAGTCCACTTTTCTTTCTGCCAGTTTTCATATATGAGCCAAGATTTGCAGATATGTGTAGATGACAACTACTCTCTTAAGGCTTTTTAGATAAGCAATCATGTCACAATGTTCTTCTATCTACTGGATACTTTCTTACAGCATTATATAAACAATCTGAAGGTTAAACAAAATATTGATAGCTACATTAAGATTTATCAAACAGCCATATTACATATGTGATTGCTTGAAACATAAATGGAATCTGTCATTAACCACTTCAATACCAGGCACTTTTACCCCCTTCCTGCCCAGGCCAATTTTCAGCTTTCAGTGTTGTCAAAATATGAATGACAATTGTGCGGTCATGCAACACTGTACCCATAAAAAAAAATTGTACTTTTTTTCACACAAATAGAGCTTTCTTTTGGTGGTATTTAATCACCGCTGAGTTTTTTTATTTTTTGCTAAATACACAAAAATCCTGAAACGTTTAAAAAAAAAAACCCACATTTTTTCTCGGTTTCTGTCATAATATTTTGCAAATAAATAACATTTGGTAATCATAAACTTAGGTCAAAATGTATTCTGCTACATTTCTTTGGTGAAAATACCCCAACTTAGTGTATATTATTTGGTCTGTAGGAAAGTTATAGAGTCCACAAACCATGGTATATACAGTATATCTGACAATCGATCCATCCTTATGTACTGACAGCCCATCTCATTTCTTGAGGCCCAAAAACACCAGGATAGTAGAAATACTCCCAAATTACCAATTTTTGGAAAACAGACAGTTCAAGGTATATAGTAAGAGGCATGGTGAGTTTTTTGGAGGTTTTAGTTTTTTGTTACAATGTTTTTGGAAAATGTAGATATCACAATTTTTTTTTACATATTGTCACCAGTCCAGTACAGCGTTATTATATAACTGGTGTGGCAGTGATCAGGGACACTGACCGGTGACAGTAT